TGGTTTATCATTTGTTGTTTTATCTCTGTAGGTCTTTTTTGTTAGGTCATAGTATACATAAGTATGGATAGATAGAAAGGAATAGAGGAATACATAGAGAAAGAGATAGATAGGTAGAGAGAGGGAGATGAATGGATGAATGGATAAGATATAGAATAGATAGACAGGCAAAAATGGATAGAAAGACAGATATATAGATAGATAGATATAGAGAGAAACTATATATAAATACTTTCTCTGATTCTAACTCATTCACAGAACAATCCACTAGACCACCAAATTATGAGCGCTTGTGTGCGTGTATGTATGTGTGCGTGCCGTATGTACGCACATACACGCCTACGCAGAGCTGCACATACACACGTCCTCACTTTTATTTTTCTCCTTGCTCTCTGCCTCACTTGCCTCATACTCTTCTATGGTTTCATTCCTTCCTTGTCTATTTTTAAGAAAAAATCCTATTTGCAGAGTTCCTCGTCCGAAGAATCGAGAGAAATCTTCGCGTCCAGATCCTACCGGCCTCAGAGTGACGTAAGTATTGTTTTCCTGTGTGTAACAATAAAGATGATTATTATAGTGATAACAACAGTATTGATGATAATGACGATGATGATAATGATGATGATGATGATAATGATGATGATGATGATGATGTGATGATGATGATGAAAATGGTAATGATAACAATACTATACTAATAATGATGAGAATAATGATAATGATAACAATTAGACTCGTCATTATCATTAATATTATTGTTTTTACTATTACCACTAATACTACTATTGTTATTACTATTACCACTAATACTACTATTGTTATTACTATTATTATCATTACTATTATTATCATTACTATTATTATCATTACTATTATTATTATCATTATCATAGTTGCTATTATCAATATTATCATTATTGTTAAGATTTTCATCATTATCACCATTGATAACTGTTCGCTTTTATTTTCACCATCATTAAAGTTGCAGTATAATATACTGTTACTACTCATAGTGATACAAGTGAAACTGATAATGGGCTACGTGGTTCTAAATTAGTGATTTATGGAGATTTTTTTGCATATATTGATTAATTAATACTTTCATAAATCTATTTTGCTATCTTCTATATATTTATATATATATATATATATATATATATATATATATATATATATATATATATATATATATTTTTTTTTTTTTTTTTTTTTTTTTTTTTTTTTTTTTTTTTTTTTTGCTTCCATTTTATCATTATTATCATTATTATTATTATTATTGTTGTTGTTGTCTTCCCGCTACTCTTCTGCGAATTCTTTTCTGCCTTTCTTTTCTTTTCCGTTTTTCACTTCTTTATCATTATTCTTAAGACATTTCAATGACTGACCCATAAGAGAGATGAGAGTTTAAACCATAAAAGTCTCTGTGGCAATTCAAATATATCTCAGATATATATATAAATATTTTTTTCTTATCCGGCACACCTATCTGTTACTATGGTGAGCGTATCAGTACTGACATATGCCAAACATGTGTTATTTGATGTTATGGTAAACATGTATTAATCAAAGTCAATCTAGAATTTCTCTGTCTCCCTTTTTGTTATTCCGTAGTGTGTAACAGCTCTACATCTCAGAATTCCCCCACATCGCTCCTTTGCTTGCAGGAGTCCTTTGAGGATTACAGGCCCCCCAAGTACGACTTCTCCTACACCTCGTCGGACCTCCGCGGCCACGACTTCGGCCACAAGGACACCCGCGACGGAGACAACACCAAGGGATCCTACCACGTCCAGCTCCCCGACGGGCGCAAGCAGGTCGTCAGCTACCGTGTGGACGGCGACTCGGGGTTCGTAGCCGAGGTCACGTACGAAGGGGAGGTTCGATTTGCCCAAGGACAGCCTCGTCAGGTAGCAAGACACTACGGCGTCCCTGACTCCGACGAGTCCGATGAGTCTCGCGAAGTTCCTCGTGTCTCGGTTCCCAGGCCTCTTTACTCAGCTCCCGACTCCGATGAATCTGACGAGTCCAGGGAAGTCCCCCGACGCGTCCCGTCCCCTCGGCCCAGGTATTCCCGCCCTGTGTCCCTCGAATCTGCCGAGTCTGAGGAATCGAGGGAAGTCCGACGGTTCCCAACGCCCAGGCCGAGGTACGCGCGCCCTGCTTCGGATGAGTCTGACGAGTCTCGGGAGGCGCCGACCCTCACCACGCCCAGGTCGCGGTTCTTCATCCCAGAGTCAGAGGAATCCAAGGAGTCCGCTGAAGGGTACGTCTACACAACGCCCGCCACGCCCTTCGTAGCCACGACTCCTGCCCCCTCGTACTCGGCTCCCGTCGCTCGCCCTCCTTCTCCCAGGCCAAGGATCACCTTCCTCGATTCTGATGAATCGGATGAGTCAGATGAGTCAAGGGAGATCCCGACCCCGAGGCCAACCACGACTGCACGACCAGTCACCAGGCGTCCTGACTCTGACGAATCGGACGAGTCTCGCGAAGGATACTCTTACAGGCCTCCCAAGACGCCCTTCGTCCTCACCACGACTCGAAGGCCAACCACGACCCCACGACCAGTCATTAGACGCCCTGATTCCGATGAATCCGATGAATCAGACGAATCACGCGAAGGATACTCTTACAGGCCTCCCAAGACTCCTCTCGCCCTCACAACCGCCAGACCAAGGAAGATCCCGACCCCCAGGCCAACCACGACTCCACGACCAGTCATCAGACGCCCTGATTCCGATGAATCAGACGAGTCTCGTGAAGGATATTCTTACAGACCTCCTAAAACGCCCTTCGTTTTGACAACCCCGAGACCAAGATATTCACGGCCTGACTCCGATGAATCCGATGAGTCAGATGAGTCAAGGGAGATCACGACCCCGAGGCCAACCACGACTCCACGACCAGTCACCAGGCGTCCTGACTCTGATGAGTCTGACGAATCTGATGAGTCCAGAGAAGGATACGTCTACAGACCTCCGAAGACTCCCTTCGTCCTCACCACCGCTAGACCAAGATTCCCACGCCCGGATTCCGATGAATCGGACGAGTCAGATGAGTCAAGAGAGACCACAACCTCAAGACCAATCACGACTCCACGCCCAGTGATTAGGCGTCCCGACTCTGACGAATCGGACGAATCACGCGAAGGGTATGTTTACAGGCCCCCCAAGACTCCTCTCGCCCTCACAACCGCCAGACCAAGGAAGATCCCGATCCTCAGGCCAACCACGACTCCACGACCAGTCATCAGACGCCCTGATTCCGATGAATCCGATGAATCCGATGAATCAGATGAATCACGCGAAGGATACTCTTACAGGCCTCCCAAGACTCCTTTCCCCCTCGCCACCGCTAGACCAAGAAAGATCCCGACCCCCAGGCCAACCACGACTCCACGACCAGTCATCAGACGCCCTGATTCCGATGAATCCGATGAATCTGATGAATCGCGCGAAGGATACTCTTACAGGCCTCCTAAAACGCCTCTCGTCTTCACCACCGCAAGACCAAGGCTTCCCCGCCCGGACTCAGATGAATCCGATGAGTCAAGGGAAGTCCCCCGCGTCACAACGCCCAGTCCAAGGTATTCTCGCCCGGATTCCGATGAGTCGGATGAAAGTGATGAGTCAGTTGGGAGGCCCCGCTTGATAGTGCCGAGACCGCGATCTTCACGTCCAGACTCCGATGAATCCGATGAATCGGACGAATCACGCGAAGGATACTCTTACAGGCCTCCCAAGACTCCTTTCCCCCTCGCCACCGCTAGACCAATAAAGATCCTGAGACCCAGGCCAACCTCGACTCCACGACCAGTCATCAGACGCCCTGATTCCGATGAATCTGATGAGTCTGATGAATCGCGTGAAGGATACTCTTACAGGCCTCCTAAAACGCCCTTCGTTTTGACAACCCCGAGACCAAGGCTTCCACGCCCAGACTCTGATGAATCGGACGAGTCAGATGAGTCAAGGGAAATCACGACCCCGAGGCCAACCACGACTGCACGACCAGTCATTAGGCGTCCTGACTCTGACGAATCGGACGAGTCTCGCGAAGGATACTCTTACAGGCCCCCCAAGACGCCCTTCGTCTCAACCACCGCTAGACCGAGACTCCCACGCCCGCACTCGGACGAATCTGAGTCTCTCGAGAGCTCAGAGGAATCCCTGGAAATCCCCCGCATCACGACGCCAAGGACGAGATACATCGCCCCGGATTCCGTAGAGACGCCGGCACCTACCACGCCCAGGACTCGTTACGTGGCCCCCGAGTCGTCCGAGGAATCGCGAGAAGGGGGCTATGACTACACGCCGCCGAAGACTCCTCTCAACTTCCCGGCCCAGGACTCTGAGGAATCGGAGGAAGCTCCTAGGACTCTCTATTCTGCCCCAGAGCCACAGGAGTCCAAAGAGTCTCGAGAGGGATACGTGTACAATGCTCCCAGTGTTCCTTTTCCGTTCCCACAGTGAGCAGTAGAGTTGCGTCTATGTAAGATATGTTGATTCCCACATTTATGTGCTTTTTATCCTTATTTCCTTCTTGCTCTTGCTCATCTTCATTTCTTTTCCATTTTGTTTAATTATCATTCTTATTCATCTTATTCTTCCTCATCATCGCCTGCTTCTTCCCTCCTTCATTGCTCGAGACCCCTTCCAGGATTTGATGATTTTGATGATGATGAAGCACAATCTCATCAAAATTATCAATTTCATTTAAGATGCAGTGGAAAATAAATTCAGACTTAATGTACACAATACGTATATACAGAGAAACACGTGTACTGAATAACGACAACATTCGCCAAAACAGAAAAAAATATATAAAAAAGAAAAATATATACATACGTGTTACAACAGGCAAGACACATTTGCTTCCAAAGCTTGTGAATAGGTAGGTAACTTATAAAGATTTTTTTTTAAATAATAATAAATAATGGAAGTTATTATTTATTACGCATATTTATATTTATTTATTGCTACGGCTTTCTCAATAAAGAT